AACTTTAACGTATTGTCATGAAGAGGAAATGTTTGTACAACAGATTAAATGATTCAATTTTTTTATTTTTATCAATTGATAGTTTAGTTTTTAGTACTGTCAAAAAGGTAGTATATACTATTTTATTGTATGTTAAATAATGACTTCATAATCTTTGAGTAATTTTTAGGCTTAAATCTCAATTTATACTTTCATTTTTTGTTTCTGCTATCTTTTTCCAAAATTAACAGACTTTTCAATATTTGTGTTTGTTTATGTAATTTTACATTTGGTGTTGGCTTTCATTTGGTTGGGCTGATGAATTTATTGATTCCTTCATACATTCCGCAAATGTCACCAGTGTCAAATGATAACTGTATCTTCTCACACAGCTTATGCCAGTAGACATTTGCACAGCATCTGGTTGTCTAGCTGTCCTCAAAACTTGAAACATTACCTGAGTAGGGTGATGTTTGTGAACCAATAGTGCAATGCACTTCTCAATAGCTACGTTGACCTCATTTACATGTGTTCCAAACCAGTTCAGTGTCTTGATCCTACTCCTCCAGAAACAGATGGGAGCCAATGATCGCTCATACTGGAAATGAGATTTACACCAAGGGTTGGAGTGAGGAGAGGAGAACTTGAAGCTTGCTGCTGGAGAGAAGTGTGCTTGATGAAAAGAAAACAACACAGTGACATCAGGGTAGAGCATTTTCACATGCATTCATTGCAATCGAAACTGCTACTCCTGTGTGGGCCTATACAGCCTTAACAGATGCTGCACCACCATTAGCAGCTGAGACATAACTCTATGGCCACAGATCCATGGTTTCTCAAGACCAACAGATGCCACACCACATATATTTATGTACTATTTCATAGTCTTGCTTTCTAGTGTTTTTGCTTATGTAACATTTTATTATATATTTAAAAAAACATACATTTTTTTTTTGAGCTTCTAAGGCACATAATGTATATAATGTTTATATATGCACATTATATATGTGATAGTGGAGACAATCTCCCACTATCTATAATACTTCTATGGCATGCATCTCAAATAGCCTCTAAACAACTAAGTCCAGCTCCAAGTTGCGGAATGGGTGAAGATAGAAAACTGGCACCTTAAAACCAGCTAGATGGAGCTTGACAGCCCAGGAAGGTGGTCCATCTAGTGGAAGGAAAACCCTGATTTTAAAGCTCCACTAACTTGTGGTCATATCCAAACACAGAAAAGACTGGAAGTAAATCCAGACAGAAAACCCGGAGTGGAGCCCTGACAACTCCTGCAGACAAGCCATCCCCAAATGTAATGCTCTGTGTCCCTTTGGATCTTGTTGATATGACCAAGAGGAGGGTGCATGTAGTCTGGGCAGTGCATAGCCTCCATATACCATTGACTAGTCCTGTGCCCTGGATAGATCACCAAAGGACTGAATTTCAACCAAACGGGGTGCTAACGTAATGTTGCAAGGTAAACGAATGCATACATGTTTTGGATATGAAACTGAGCAATATGAAACTTTCAAGAATATAATCTGAATGAAGGAAATGTGTTTTCTTTAAAAAGGAAAAATAGACCTTTGCTTGCTACGATATTCTTTGTTGCAGAGCAGTAAAGTACACTGGATCAAACAATGGTTTCCTCTACAGACAGGGATACAGGTTTGATTCCTGCCAGAGAATTCATTTTCTTTAATAAGATTCTTGAATGTTCAGGCCAATAGATGTAATTCACATTGTTAAATAAATAAAAATGGGACATCTATTTCAAATACAAAATATCCACTATAAATTTGAAGTAATAATATATATATATATATATAATTGTTCAAACAGTTATTTACTTTTTGTTAAATATCAGTTCAGTTACATGCCATGCATGATACATGCTTAAGGACCATGTATATTTTGATACATGACTAACAAGGCAGATTTTTTCCTGTACTAGGTTGCCATTTCTTTCTGCAGTAGACCAGTTTCCATCCAAAGCTATAGAACCAGTCTGTTCTGCTATTTAGCCATAGTTGGGGGAGAAGAAGAGGATTCATACCTTTCCCAAGCCTATTAGCATGTAAGTGGATTCAAATAGAATTCAAACTCAGCTCTCCGATTCCTCAATCTGAACCACTATCCATTACTCCACCGTGCCTCCTATAGCTATTCTTATAATACAACCATTTTTTCAGATCAGTTTTCTTTGTTATTTCAGCCACTGTATCCTTTGGATTCATTAGGCAGCTATCACAGAATAACACTTCAAAAATTTAAAACCAAACTCTCTATTTAATTCATGGAGATTTCCTTATTTTTATGACTTACCTCTCATATTCAGTGTCTCCCTAGGGAATTTTTAGAATTTTTAACTGTCGTTTCTTCACTGTACTTCTCCACCAAGCTAGTGTATATTTCTGCATTGTATGAGACATGTCTGATTAAATGAAACCACTTCTACAGATTATGTGATTCTTTGGGAGTTGTTAAATTCCTTATGAGAAACACACAACTTGAAAGAAATAAAAATAACTTTGTGGGTAAGATAATGGGTTCATTCAAAATTCCCAAATGAAACAGATAACTGTGAAAAACTGGAGGAAGCTGCAGTTTATGATAAAATCAACATAGATGAGAAAAAATCATTGTACAACAACACATTGTGGAAATTTAAGCAGAAACAAATATTCCTATTATATACTTTTTAGTATTGCATGTACACATGCCATAGCAATTAGCAGCATGAAAAGTGGTACCACCATGTAGAATTAAAATTCCAGACAAGCTCATTGCATTTATTTTTGTACAAATATTCTTGGGAAAGCTATGAATCCATATTTTCTCCCTCTGCTCCCAGCTCTAGGTTAAAAAGCTCTCTAAGAAAAGGACAAGTTTGAATTCAAAACCAGTTGGATATGTGTCTGGCAACTTCATCCTGTAAAAGCCTACTTGCTACAAGCTCAAATCAGACTTTCACATGGAACTCATATATACAAACCATCACTAAAGAAGATGGAAAAATGGTTTAAAAGAGCTAGATCAGACCAAAAATGAAGTATTTCTAGTACATTTGGACCAGAGCTGCCTAATCCTCACTTTCCAGTCCCAATTGCATTCAAAAGCATTTATGCAACCTTGTGGGTAATGAATTGTTTTCTACCCCTCAACCCCCTTCCCACAAATGAAATTTTGCTAGTCTCTCACTACTCTACTGTTATTTTCATGGCAGATCTTTGGTTGAACTACATTTCTTGGTTCCACCAGTCCAGACCTTCACAGCACAGACACACCATGCCATGTACTCATCCTAATTCTCTTCATATTCCATTGGTAAGGAGTAAGCTCCACTCAGTTTCTTTCTCAGAACTGTTGCAACCGACTCCCAAGAGGATGCTTCTTTGATCACTATAATCTTAACCTCTTCAAGTTGAATTATCCTCATGATATACAACTCTTACTCCCTCCCTATATGCACTTACAACATCCCAATTTAGTAACCCTCTACTTTGAGCGGCACTTAGGCCTTGTATTGGGCGATCAGTAGTAAAAAAAAAAAAAAAAAAGCAAAAACGCAACAGTAACATTAGCATTGTAAGGCTGCAGCCCTATACACCACAAGAATCTATTGGTACTAAAGAGAGGTACTGATAGAACACATTTTTGTGACTAAAACTATTATTTTTTTCTTGTTATAAATTCAGTAAATACAAAAATGACATACAGATGCAAGAAGTAAAACATGAAATAAAATTAAACCACTTAAAAACAACATGGTATGTAAGCTAATGTTTATATCTTCTAAAGGTCAAAAAATATAATAAAGTATCTTACCAAAAAGTGTTGCAATGGGAAAATGTCCTTGTTCTTTTATTTGTACATTTTATCTGTTCATTTATAGACATTTTTAACCATTTATTTTAGCTACAATTTTAGTTTTATCAATTCATTTGTAGTTTAGCTTATATAGTCTGATTATTCTTGATTTCTTAAACTTTTACAGACTATGTAATATAGCATCACTTTTAACAAAAATCCTTATTAATCATTATAAAATATATTTAAAGACAATAAAATAAAAAGAACTAAATGAAAAAGAAATCTTTTAAAAATCATCAGGTTTGTTCAAACAAACCCGAGGATATGATTTAACTTCCCCTACCCCAAAATACCTCTAGTAAGACTAATTAAATCAATTTTCTTACTTTTCATAATTCAATGAATTGAGATTGCATCTTTATGAAATATAATAATGAAGTCAAGAAATAAAGAAGGTACGTTAAAGTAAATTTAAAATCTCAACTGAAAAAGGACATCTTGACGAATTCATAGTAACTATTTTTTTAAATTTTTTTATAAGTGATAAATTTAATGAATACTGACATACAAAAAGTGGTGTGAGATTATAAAATAAAAAATAATTTAAACTAGAGATGAAATAATCTACTTAGAATTCTAGGAAGGAACCCTAATTCTGTTTTTTCTTGAATATTAAATTCAACTCTTGAGAGTTATCTCCCTGAAAAGTCAGCGTATCCTTCGAGCTACTTTTATTATTAGTGTCTGTATGCATGAGAGCCTTGTTCTCATTGCTTATAATAGTGAAGTCTGGTTTGTCATCTTTCTCTCCCTTCACAGTAGAGTGTTTGTCTTTTTTTTGCCTGTTCTCTTCGCCTCGTCATTTCCGGAAAGGGAAACAAGCTCGATTGCCAGAAAGGATTGAGAGACAGTAAAGCTGGAAACGCCAGTTGTTTGTTGTGTGCCTGGCTGTGCCGAGTGTGAGGTGAGTGTAAGCAGTATAGAAAATCATAAAAACGGAACAAACCGCCGATCCCGATCTCAGCTATTGCAACAACATGTTTCCTGTGTCGGCTGCCATTAACAGCAAAAATTATGACTCCACACATGATTCTGCAAAAGAGTCAAATGGGTTCCTTTTGTCGAACAGAAGCATTGGATCGGTGGAATCTTCTTTTTCTACTACAGATACAGGAAGGACTACAATTATAACAGCTGCCACTCACAATATGAGAAGGAAAAAATCGTCTATGTCCTCACCGGCTTCTGTTGCCTCCAGGCCGGTAGATCGTAACGAAAGTAGGAAAACGGTTACAGGCTTAAGTAAAATGATATATCAATGTTACGAACCAACAAGAACGGCGATCTTTACTATTTTGGGGTTATTATGTTTGTTGTGCTCTCCTAATTGTGTCCAAGGTCTGGGGGAAATCACGTGGGCTGTGAATTGTGGTGGAGGTTCCCATACTGATATTCAGGGTATCCGTTACCAAGCCGACTATCTAAAAACTGGAATAGCTTCTGATTACGGCAAGAACCTTATGATCCAGAGGATTGTTCCTCAAGATCAGATTCTTTACCAAACTGAAAGATACCATACATCGACTTTTGGTTATGAAATACCTATTAAAGAGGATGGGGACTATGTCTTGGTGCTGAAATTTTGCGAGGTGTGGTTTACCTCATCCAACCAAAAGGTAGGTAGGCAAATACGGAACACACTCACTCAGCTCGCTATTGTTGTCAGATCTTTTAATTTTCTTCTCTGTTGAAATGAACAAATGATCAGAAGTATATTAAAAATTGTCAAATTTGTGTGCATGACCTTTAATTTCATATCTTTTTTGTATATCGATTTTAAGCATTGATTTTTTTTTTTTAGTTGTGTATGAATGTCTTCTTAAATTTTCATTATGCACGTAAATTTGTTCGCGGTTTGTTTTCTTTTCTTTATATTTGAGATCATATAATTTTAATTTTTTTTTTTTTTTAATTTTTTTTTTTTGCTTTACTGACTGACTGATCGTTCAAAATCTTTTACGGATCAGTTTTATCAACTTAATTTCTAAAAGAAAAATAAAACATCTTTAATCGCTGGCTAGTCTTATTATGTTGCTCTCTAATTTTAGTTAAAATTCGGACATATTTCTAAAAGGTTTAGAGAAGTGATTACAATATTTCTGCTGACAATGTTATTTTCTTGCCCAGAAAACAATATTTCCCTAGTACTAGAAACTAGTTGGTTTTTTTTTATATTTGATTTGAATGTCCGGTGTTCTAGCTCATTGTTCATTACATGCACATCAAGATAATTTCCTTAGTTGCGGATACGTATCGTACTTTGTTTTAAAAAAATTCATTTTTTGTAAAAATGTTCTTATTTTTATTTTTAATACCTAGTTTTTAAAAATATGTACTCCTAACGTAATGTCAATGCACTCTAAAACTTCATTTTAAACAAAAATGTGTTTCTTTACTTATTCAGTTGCATAAAGAAAGATTCACTAGTAACTAAAATAACCAAACAAAATGAAGTCTACGATTGTATCCCTTGGTTTCATTTTGTGCAAATTTTCCATCGTTTCCATAGCAAAACACCTGTTTCTTGAAATAATCCTCTTTGGACCTTCATTACACAGAGTAAAAATAGGTAATCTACAAAATCGGTTTTAAGCTTAATAAATACCTCTTAACTGCAATAAATTTTATTTCTTCATAAATGTTCGAGGTGATCTCTTGATTTTTAAGGTATTTAATTAAAAAGCATAACCGGAAACTATATAGAAGTCTATTACAACTTTTTAGTCGTTTGACACAGCTATGTTCATAAGTTCTTCTAATTATGCAATAAATTTATAGAAATTTCTGTATATTTTCTTCTAGCTAAAGAAACAGAAAAGGAATAAATTGTCTAGTAACCGCTTTGGAGTTTCCGCTTTTCAAATTAATTTTGTTGTTGTCACTACTTTAGTTTTTTTAAATGTTCACTGAGTATGTTCACTGTTCAGTTTTCTATTTTTTTTTTTTTTTTTAACTATAATCATTTATCAGCCCTCCTTGTGTGCTTTATTATCAGTTTAAAACATTTAAACATGAAAAATATAACATACATAAAAGTAAAACAAAGTCTAAAGCACATCAAATGAACTTTTAAAAATTAATAAGCATTTTTTAAAAAAATCAAACTTTCTCCAATGTTGACTGCTTGCTGATCGGAGTAGATCACAAAATACTGAACAAATCGGTTCCGGTTTTCATTTTCATGTTCAATTTTGCACTGTTAATAAAATTGACATAATTGTTTTCAAAATATCTAAGGTGAAATCCAGTAGATCATTGACTCCTACCAGTTTTATTGACTGATCCTAAAAAGTACATGCTTCATTCGTAAACATTCATCATTCATTTACAAATTTACAATGGTTTCGTTTTTTACTTAGCTACTTTTTAACTGACTTTTAATTTGAAAGTCCTGTTTAGTTGTCATATTATCAATGATTGAAAACCCCTAAAATCCTATACTCTGCTTTTGTTCTAAATCTTATAGCTTCAATAGAGGACTATCAAATTCTACATGTAATTATATTGACAAGTAATGTTTTGTTCTCTAAATTTCTATTGATTTAATTGGGAAAGTTAAATTCTTGATATTAAAGTTTAGTTTATCAATGCATTGTAAAATTGTTTTGATCTTAATAAAGCAGTTAGAAAAGAGAATTAAATTGTATTGCCATCAAGCTAATTTCCTTGCAGGTTGTTGGATATCATTCCAAATTCTCTCAAAAACAGTTGATTCACAAAAAGTTTTTATCGACAGTAAGCAACCCTCAACCCTTTACACGGGTCAAAACATGAAACGGACAAACCAAACATTGCCTGACACATTCCATAAATTTTGATTGGTCACTTAATGCTTTTCTTAGTAAGAGCCAACTTTTCAGCTAAAAAAAGTTACTTCTTTTTGAAAACTAAAATACTTTAACTTATGCATAGGATTGCATGGATTCACCTGTAATGGTTGCATTAGTATTCTTTGGAAGTTACTTCAGCAGCCTGATTTTAGAAACATTGTGCATTCAGTAGTAGTACGTTGTATTTTTGTCTTGTATGAAGCAAGATGCCTAGCAGTAGTAGGTCTCATTTGGGTAATGTGCTGTATGCTACTTACATAACCATATTGCACTTCATAGAGTATCATGATCACAAGTCCCATAAAATAGTGTCATTAAGGAAACACATGTACTGCAGTTGTAACAACAGTGGATGTTTCAAGGACAAGATAGCTTGATGGAACACATTCCTTTTCCAGGCTCATTTTGAATTCAGAGTCAGCCTTTGACTGGCTGACTTTCAAAGCTAAAGAGCTCAGTCTGCCCTATAAGCGTTTAAATTCAGGTTTTTCTTTCTTCTAGAAGGGATGCAGCCCCAACCCAACCTGCCTTGCAATTTAATCCATGTCTGGAGGAAGATGGATTCATGCCTTTTTCAAGGGCAAGAACACAAAGTGAACAAAACAGACTCGGTCATAATTTGAACTTTACATTTTTACACCAATAATTATCAGAGTATATAATAGACAATATTGGTGCTAAAATAAAAGTAATGTTAATTCTTTAATAAGTTAATACCTATAAAAGTATAATTTTTTTTATTTGAACAGTTGCTTTTTTTTCTTTTCTTTTCTTTTCTTTTTTTTTTATTTTTGTAATCTAAGAAATTTACATAAAATTATACTGGATGCTCTCATTTTCTAAAATAGCAGAAGGTTGATATGAAAATAATGCCTGCTATTTTATCATGTTGGCCCATGACATCAAATGTAAATATTAGTGGTATGATAGTAGAGGTTGAACCTTCCCACAATTTTTTTTTTACCTTGTTACAGATAGCAACTGAGCAGCAGCTTGATAAAATGGTATTTGACATGAAATGCATACAAAGCAGAGGTATGTCATTGAATTCATCCCTGCAGAAAAAATTGCACACATTGACTTTCATCAATGATTATTGAACATTTACAGATATCAAATTGTGAATATGTGCACAATTAGTATTTCATCAGTGGTATCACAATGTTGTTTTTTTTTTTGGGGGGGGGGATCATTTCACTCCAAGAAAGGCAATAATGCCACTAAGACATGGGGTTACTGACAGTGAAAGAGAACAAGAAGATCTTAGTAATGACAAAAGACAATAAAAGAACAGTCCAGGAAGACAGAAGATGGCAATTTACATAGCATTTATATTTTTGAAGATCATAGGTGACAAGGAAGCAAGAAATCAGAAGAGAGTTCCACAAGAAATGCAACAAAATAAACTATTAGAGTAGAACTTACAGTTACATTTAGCTAACTCAGCAGTAAAACAATAAAACCTTGGTACCAATCTAGTAGGACACTTAAATTCATCCAATCAAGGTACCAAAGAGAAGAGTTCATTTGAACAACAGCCATTAAAATATTTATAGAAAAGACAGAGAAGACATGTTCAACAGTGGGAAAGTGACTGAAGTTGAGATGCTATGTCAGGACCCTTTGGATTTTGGTGGAAAATCTTGAGATATCTAGCAGGTGTACCAGATCAGATATGGCAGCAATATTCAATGCATGAACGAATAGTAGATTTATAAATGTGCAAGCTGAATTCTGGTAAAACACAATGAACTAACTTTCCTAGCAGCAGACTTAGCAATTGATCACTCCACTTTATGTCAAGGGAAAACATGAAACTAAGAAGGTACAATGAGTTGTTCTCCTGGCATTTAGCTTCAACCATGCTGGTGAAATGCAAAAAAGGTTCTCTATAGTGATTAAAAGATAGCAGTTTCATTTTGGAGGCATTAAAATTTATAAGTTATTCTTTACCCCAGGAAGGTCATTTTATGAGAGCAGACACCAGTTTTACTTTATTGGGCCTATCAAACTTATTATTAAGACAGGAGTAAATAATTGTCATTAGCATAAATACCTAGTTGGGAAGTGACAACATTGTGAAGGTCATTATTTACATTATTCGGACTATTACCCTCATCTTTTTCGCCATATCTGTCACAACGTTTCGGCCGTTGTACGTTCAGGCCTTTTTCAGGTGGTTGGAATGTTGAACCCTTTATTTCGCTCACTGGGGTAGAAATATAGACAGATTGTGAAGGTTGTTGATAAAGATAAGAAACAATGTAGGCCCAAGGATAGAGACCTGGGGCACCCCTGCATTAATGCCTCTTTTTTTGTTTTTTTTATTATTGATTCATTTTCTAAGGCTTATCAACTCTTTGCAGATTATTTAAAACCAGAAAATCTTTTATATTGTAAGAATTATTTTTTTGTTTTTCTTTTGAAATAATAATGATTTAATGATACAAGTTTTACTAATTAACCAATAGTTCAGAGGAGCAGATGTGAATTCATACCTTTCCCAAAAGTATTTGCACATAAGTGAATATAACAAACCCAAATGGAATTGGAACTCAGCTCTCCAATTAACAATTACATGGCCATTATCCATTACACCACCTGCACTTCCACACTTACAGCACGTTATTCCCAAGGAATCATCCATTTAGGTACTAACCAGGCTTACCATTGTTTAACTTCAGTGATCATATAGGAACCAGTGTTTCAACATGACATGGCCGTAAGCCTTGCATTAATGATCTAAAAGTTCCACACTACCTTCATTATACAATTCATTAAGAATT